TTTTACGTATGTGGCATTTTGGTAGTAATAATTTTGACATATTTTTGACGTGCTTTAATTTCTACATATCACATTCATTAAAGAAAAAATAGCATATGAACACATTTATATTTCTGCATATGTCAAACTGAAATATATAATTTCATCTGCTGAAATACTAACTTACATTATTGAAGTAAAACTTCTTTAGGCGCAACTAGGGTGTAAATCCGCACAAATGCAACGAAAGTGCGTTACGGCAGATAAGATAAGAGTCGAGTGCCAATGATTCGTCATTCGCTCTCGATGATATCGTTTCTATACGGGTCTATTCTGATTAGTCGTCGCATAGATAAATAAGCATAAATAGATCGCTATCTCGGGCGATTTGACGTTACACTCATTTTAATTTACCAATCGATCACTACTTGGCAGCACATGTAAATACGGTATGTAAATTAACCCCTGGTATCACTTCTACATTTGTATATAAAATCAATACAGCCCAAAAATCTGAAAAAAAAATAATTATTTGAAATAACAACACAAAACATACGAAATACAAAATATATTTTCAAATATATCACAGACATATTTTTGAAGAATTATAAACTAAACAGAAATAACTGTCTACTATTAATTAAAGTATATTACAGACATATTTTTAAAGTACTACAAATTAAAGAGAAATAACTTATTCATATTAATTACTTAATGACTAATAATAATATATTAAAAACTTAAAAACTAAGAAGTGAAAAGCGCACGAGTATTGACGATGGAATGACAAATTTAGAAGGAATGATAAGTAATGCAATAATTTAAAAGGATAAAAAAACAGCATGTTTTTAAAAAAGAACGAATTCTTCCGAAACAAAATAATCCTAAAAACATATATATATATATATATATATATATATATATAAATAAGTCGGGTTTTCCTTCCTGACGAAATAACTCCAGAACGCACGAACCGATTTCAATTTTGCATTCGTTGGAAAGGTCTCGGGCTTCGCAAGGTTTATAGCTAAGAAAAGTAGTGGTGCATGGCATCGTGCCCTAATGCAAATTGCTGGAACTTCACGCACCGTAATTAAAAATTTGAGTAATGACATTAGTGAGAATTACCAGAATTATGCTTGGTTAAGCAACGAGTCTTCCCGCAACGAATAATGATGTACACGCCCTGAATTTAATCAAAAATTGCTGGCGATTTGGTGACATACCAATAATTCTGAGTGGTCTTCCGTTTGACTTCAAACGATTGCAATTTCCAGTTCAAAATAACAAGTCGCAAGGCCAATCGCTTAGTGTTTGCGGGATAAATTTCAAATAGATTATTTAGAAAATCATTGTTTTGCACATGGGCAGTTATACGTTGCCTTTTTACGAGTTGGAAAACCATCCGCTTTGTTTATGTTAACGTCAGAGCAAAAAACAAAAAAATGTAGTTTACCAAGGAGCACTTCAATGAAACGGATAATTTGCGGACTTTCATTTACTTAGAGAAGTTCAACTAAAAAACACTTAATTTTTGTAATTGAAATAAATTTATTACTGTTGTATAATAAAATCAATTTTTTTCTTTTCAAATATAAAACAAACAAAAAATTTCTTCATCTTTCTCACGAAACCATCTGGTGGCGAAACGGAGTTCGTCGGGTTTGCTAGTATATATATATATATATATATATATATATATATATATATATATATTGATATCCACAATGAGATAAAACTAAATTCCTAGGATTAAAATTCATTTACGAGACATTCTTGCTTATTATCTCTCCATGTAATAGTTATTTTGCTATCTAATCAATCCTTAATAAAGTTGTATTTGACGAAAACTTTGAATAGTTTCTGTATAAGTGTTTTTTAAACGTAAGTAACCAAAACCCTGAACTACTTTTAATTTATATCAATTGTAGCTCAAACCTATCTATCGTTTTAATCCAGTTTTTACTGCAAGGAGGTTTATTTAAAACTATAATTAAACCCTTGCGTTTTATAAACTGCCTGGTCTTTGAGTATGATCGAGACAATATCAAAATTTTTGCCCTTACATTTTAAGTTTCCGGAATATTTGAAAACTTCTCAGAACATTGTATACTCTGTTGGAATTTATCCTTTAAATTATTGCATTGTTTGTTAATCCTTTTTAATCCCGAAACAAAATTTAATGTATCATACATCTTCTGGGTGTTTTGGCACTCCTACGCCTTATCACTGCATTCTGAGGCAATTTGCAGCTACCACCAAGGACTTATATTGAATATATTGTTATATCATATTAATTGAAGATATTGTTATTATCATATTAATTATTTTTGCTGCAATTATTATGAAAAAATACCTTGGATTCTGACGGTGTCAGAATAGGTGACTTTTAACCTGCACTTGACAATCTCAGGGTTGCTGCAAAAATCTTTTTCAAGGTTTTTAGGCTTTCATCTCCTAACTAAGAACATAAGATTCATTTATTAATATTTTTTTGCAAATGGTATTGAAGTATTTAATAGAGTTATAATTACTTGGCCTTGTCCTTGGAGTTGCAGATTGTTCTTCTGGTTCTGTATGAGAGCATTCTCCAGTGACTTGAAAACTATTCTGTTATTGCCGTAAAGGAGACGCTTCTAATTGGTTTCGATTTCAAATTATCTTCGTCTTGTGCCACAAACCGAAGAGTTAGGTCATCCATTAAAGGATTATTCGCCGTCTGCATCCAAATTGAAAGCATCTTTTTACATATATATATATATATATATATATATATATATATATATATAACAGTTTAATAGTATTTTCATGATACATATTAATTATATGCATAATACATCATTATATACATACCTAATAATTAGATGCCGGAAAGACATGCATTTTTTATTATATTTGGAGTTATAACAATTTGGCACATTACACTTTACCATTTTAACTTGATAATAAATGAAAAAAGTATTCACCGAAACATAAGTATATATAAACAATCACAGAAAAACAAATATAACAAATCTCAACTACAATACGCGATGACAACTTATAGAAAATGGCGATCAAATCAATGCAGATCAAGCTAGGCTAGATCAATGAAATTGGAAGTCGTAGCGCCATCCTTCGATCATTTCGAATACCAATCCATTTCAGAACAAGGTAATCTGCATTTGTTCGGAGATTACCGGCCATGAGTCGTCGCGTATGTGAACGTTGTCAACGTTGTATGCGTACCGATATCCACAAGGAAATTAAAATTAATTGAAATAAACATTTAAAAATTATATTGTAGTAAAAATCTTGATTTAATGAAAAATGTCTGAATCAGAAGAATATTTTATCCTGTACCTTGGAAATATTGATTAATAATATTAATAATTAGTAAGTTTATTGATTAGAAATTATTTCTATATTATTCGTAGTTTCTATAAATCTTTGAAGTTATTAAAATGGAAAATATTTTTTAGGCAAGACAGATATTACAGATGTTCAAAGAATGAGATTATATCGCCAGCGAAAAAGTAAAAAAATACAAGCAGTCAATGAATGTATGTTAATTTTAATTACATGAAGTTCTTCAAACACAATTATATGATGAGTGAAGTTGCGAAAACAACATTTGTTTAGGCATTGTTTAACATAATCCACTGTGTGAACGAATATTATTGTATTTTTGTGCGTATTTATAGAATTTATTAAAACTCTCCTTCGCTACTCAGGTTGTTGGGTTATAATTTAACCCTTGTAGCTGTGGACTGTATTAAACACTAATTTATTTGTATATTATGTATTTGTTGCAGTTCTAATTACAATCACTGATTTGTCACTAAGTATTAATGAAAGAAGATATATATTTATGTTTATAGGTTATTTACATGTTGTTAAGCGGACTTTACTTTTAGAAGTGAACAACTAGTTCCATTAAAACACTCCGCTACCCCCTCTACCAGGTGTAGCAACCATTCCGTGTAAAGCTTAATGCTCTGAAGTTTTGTAACTTTCATGGCCAATATAATAAAACGAAAAGACGTCCGAACAATTATAGAATTTATTAATCAGCAATTACTTCAATTCTCTAATGAAGGTTTGCTTCTAAATGCTAATTACAAATGCCATTGAAGTATGGCTTTAATTACATTATTGTTTCTAAATATTATACATATTTTTAATACCGTTATAAATATATAATTTATAATTTATCATTATATAAATGTGTATAATGGTTGACACTATTAAATGTGTGCATCACGAGTGTTACCATATTACTAATAAACATTGTTCAAAATTGTTGTATAATGTATTTATTTTTACTTAACTTAAAATTGCTACTTTGTACAGTAGCAAATAAGTTTTACTTCTATTGCGTGTGATCCTTTTGCGCACTCTTTGTTTTTGCTAAAATTGCTATTTTTGCAAGTTAACTATGTACTGTGCGTGCACATCGGGAACTATGTCTACAATGGGATAATCCTGCCAATAAGTGATTATGCAAGAATAAAACGATAATTTAATCAGTGGTTTCATTTGCATCGCCAATATCTAAGAATTGTTGTGAAAAGTTTTAACGGATGAAGCGGATAAATTAATGCTCAGAAAAATCTTTATACAAATTGTGTAAATAGCATTCACAAAAGAGACGATAATTGATATTGAAATGGCAATTATGAAATAGGGATTTGTATAGGAAAGAAAATTTGTCCCAAAATAAGAAAACGATGTCAAGGGTGACAACCCTTGATTAAATTAAATTGGCTTTTATATAAAATTCAAGCTTCTCTTTAAGTTAAGATAAAGATAATCTGAAATAAAATTTTGTGAAAAAAAATTCTGTGAATGAAAGCGGTGTGAAAAATTATTCGACTACTAAAATGACTGTTATGTATAGGAATTTGTGATTGAGGAGTAAAAATTTAGAGTTGCATGTATTTCTAAATTTCTTTCTTTTTGAATTTAAATTATTAGAATTGAAATATGTTGTTAAATATTTTTTCTAATTGATTTATTTTACCGATTTTCTTTTTTCTTAGTAAAGATAGTACATCTACAATTTGTAAGAAATGTGAGCAGAATGTTAAAGCTTATGGAAAACCAACAGCCTGCGAATATTGTAATATAATCGCAGCTTTTATTGGGTCCAAATGTCAACGATGCACTAATAGTGAAATCAAATATGGCCCTGCAGTCACTTGCGATCAATGTAAACAGCGTTGCGCTTTTGACCGGAATGATGACAATAAGAAAGTTCGTGAATATGTTGATCAATATTAATATATTTAATTATTGAATTTTTGATCCCATTTCCTTCACAGTGACATTTTTATTTTAGGTTGATGGAAAGTTATTATGCTGGTTATGCACTCTATCATACAAACGAGCATTAGCTAAAACTAGATTATCTGAATCTGAACGGCGGCGTGCTAAACAAAGAGTAGCAAAGATGTCAAAGGAGCATGCTAAACCGCGAGGGCATAACAAGCGTCCAAATAGAGTTGATGTAACAAAAATAGTGGAACCTGAGACTCCACCTCCCAAAGTTGTCAGGACAAACACTGGCGATGTGGATCCGAACTCATCCGATCATGTTGTTGCAATGACTCAATTAAAAGAAACAATAGCAAGTCTTAATAAAAAAATCATTCAGAAGGACGCTCTTATATTAGCCAAAGAAAAACAAGTAAGATGTGATTGGTAGATGATCATATAAATATGGAATAATTAGTATTAAGTATAAATTAGTAATTAGTATTAATTATAAATTTATTTGCTCTTAAATCAACGAAAAAAACGTCTAGAAATCAGTTGAAGGAGGTTTTGATTTTCATATTGAATCGGATCATTCGAGTTACTCGCTTGCATGCAAACCATTTAACTTAACAGGATGTAAAGTACTGCGTCATTGTGTTTCTTAATGCTTATTTTTGATAATAAATTGTGGTTTATAATTTGGTTTTAGAGGCCAAGTAGTTAGATTTAAATGGTATATGAATAATCCACTCAAGATTATGAAATGATAGTTTTAATTTTTTGAAATATATATATATATATATATATATATATAATATAACATATATAATATGTAATATATATATATATATACATATATATATATATATATATATATATATATATATTAACAAAGTCTAGTAATCGGGCATAACATCAATGAAAAACATGAATTTCTTTCAAAAATTTATTTTAAATCCATACGTTTCGGCTATAATCCTAGCCTTCATTCAGTGGAAAAAAATTATATATATATATATATATATATATATATATATTGTATGATTCTGAATTTGATGTTGACATATGTATTAACAAAGCCTAATAATCGGGCATAACATCAATAAAAAACATGAATTTCTTTCAAAAATTTATTTTAAATCCATACGTTTCGTCTATAATCCTAGCCTTCATTCAGTGGAAAAATTAGTTGATCTTAGTGTTAAATTGGAAAATTTTTAATAATCCATGGTATCAGGATATGGTAATGCACTACACTATGTATTATAAACATTAACTTGAAATTACACAAAATTTTCACAAAATACCGATTTGAAAAAATCACAAATGGATAGTGTGTTATTCGTAGACCGGTTGAAGATGTAAACGAAAAAACGAAAAACGAAGATGTAAATGAAAAATGTTACATCTTCAACCAGTCTACGAATAACACACTATCCATTTGTGATTTTTTCAAATCGGTATTTTGTGAAAATATTGTGTAATTTCAAGTTAATGTTTATAATACATAGTGTAGTGCATTACCATATCCTAATACCATGGATTATTAAAAATTTTCCAATTTAACACTAAGATCAACTAATTTTTCCACTGAATGAAGGCTAGGATTATAGCCGAAACGTATGGATTTAAAATAAATTTTTGAAAGAAATTCATGTTTTTTATTGATGTTATGCCCGATTATTAGGCTTTGTTAATATATATATATATATATATATATATATATATATATATATATTTATATTTCACACAACTGTTAAACACTAGAAGACCAACAAAGCATGTCTAACTTTATTCAAGTAATGGCAAATTCAACTCAATCAAATTGACGTCTTATAGAACTTACTGAAATATTTCGGCCTTACGACAAGTAGTATAATTTTAAAAATTTATCAAAGTTTGAAAAAATGAGTAGTTTTTTGACGTTTGTTAATATAACAATTAGAGGATTTACTTTGTATAACGATAATAGTACTTGGTCTTAATGAACATACTAAACCATTAAAGTTAATAAAAATTATTAATTTGTGAAAATTTGCTTTAAGAGAATACTTACTCCGAGTTAACGTATTCGTTTGTTCATTTTCAATTATGTGTAATAAATCCACTCGAAATACTTTTAATCACTCATAAATTAATCTATTTCTTATTGATTAAGTCGATTATTTACACAAATCGGGAAGTTCATGTAACTTGCTTCAAGGCTAAATACCAATACCTACCAGTTCAATTTTTTTTCTCAAAAAAAAAAATTTTTTTTTTGTATTTCGAAAATAATTCAGATTTTAATTTTAATTCGGACTAAAGTTCTAATATACTTTAAACAAATAATTTCAACTTTGCTATTCGGTTTATATAATTCTTATAAATACTAGAAAATGTTACAATATTTAGAATAATCTATCTGAAAACATTCTATATTCCTCGAACATTTCGTTACGGTACGGGAAGTTCCATCAATTTGCCTTAAGGCACGATGCCATACACGTTTTATAGAAACGTCTGCCAAAAACCAATTTTCATTTTTTTTAATTTTCCTTCGTCCAATACCTAGTTTATTGTTTTTACTAAACCGAAGGAGAAGTTTATGTTTTCATCAAAAAATCCGATTCGCTAATTTTATGTTTTCTCGACGTTTCAAGCCATTCTGAATCGAATGAGACCAAATTTGGAAAAAGTATGTGTGTGTGTTTCTTTTTTGTATAGCGAAGGAAATGCCTTTAACTTTATGCATCCCAGACTGGTGTTCTGTCTGGGTATGTCGGACTCAATACCGCCCTGGTATAATACCGACTAAAACCTCCGCTTTGCCCTTGCCTCTGGTCCCCACGGAAACCGCCGTTAGGCATTACTTCGTGAGGGGAGGATCTAGAATATTATAACTCTTAACTTGATTTTATACTCATCTTTTAAATGGGCGAAGTCCCATTCGTCCTTTCTCTTTCTATAGAGTGCAGGTCAATTAGCACCACTCGCAAATCCGTCTATGGCGTTCCAAGCAGCTTCACTTGTCAGCATCACTTTAACAACATTACCTGGGGTAATGATTCGTCTTAATGTCTATTCCACATCGTAGAGCACCAAATCGCGGGCACACGAGAACACATGCTCAGCATTTCGATTTCGCCCAAACAATATGAGCCATCCGGCGAGTTATCATGCTTGAAGCGATGTAGGTAGGCTCGAAAACAGCCGTGCCCAGATATCATTTGCGTAATATAATATTTTCTTTTTCATTCTTGCGACTTAGCCAGATTTTGATGTTAGTAATGAGACGATGCGCCCATCACTGCGGCATCCCACAGTTGCTGCCATCAATGCTGTTCTGCCGTTCTTCTAATCTCAACTTTTCAGGACTCAGTTGTTGATGTCTCCTATTGTAATTTGTCCGTCTTTTCTCTGCTAAGACTAAGAGAGGCAGAGTTCCTGAAATGACACACACTGCTTCCTCCGATATTGTGCGTGTGTGTGTGTGCGTGTGTGAACAGATTTTTTGCCGTAAATCGACGTTTTCTTAAAAACGGCTGGGCCGATTTCAAAAATCAAAAATTTAAAAGCCATTCGATGTATCTCAAAATTCAAAAAGCGTTCGAAAGATATTGGTTGGGAATCGTGCTGATTAGTTTTTGGTAGAGATCGGCCGGACCGTTTTCTTGTAATAAATTGTTAAAAGAAAATTTTGCGACGATTTTTCTTATTTTTTTTTGACGATAGATACCATAGTCTTCTAGGTCATACTAAAATATTACAACTCGTTTAACTTTAAAAATTCGTCAAAGTTTGCAAAAATTGGTATCGTTTTTTTAACATTTGTCAAAATTAGACATTTCATTGCCGTTTTCTCAAAAACGCCTGAACCGATTTCAGAAATTTAAAAGTCATTTGATGTATCACGATGAGGACTATTTGTGCGACGATCTGCCAAGCCGTTTCTTTGTTTGGAAAAAGTGTTTAACTTTTCGTCCACATATAAGCTCATACTACTGAAGCGATTTTGAAAAATCAAAAACTGATCGAAAGATATTAGTTGGGAATGATACCGATTAGTTTTAGTTGAAAATCTACCGAGCCGTTTTTTTGTAATTAACTGTTGAAAAAAATATTTAAACCGATTTTTATGAAACTTTTTTTTAGCGATATGTATCATGGTCTTATAGAACTTACTGAAATATTACGGCATTTCGACAAGTAGTTTTATTTTAAAAATTCATCAAAGTTTAAGAAAATGAATAGTTTTTTTTACGTTTGTTAAAATTAAAATTAGACGATTTACTTGGTATAACGATAGAGTACTTAGTCTTAATGAACATACTAAACCATGAAAGTTCTACGGAAACTGGTTAAAATGTGAAAATTGTTGATTTTTGAAAATTTGCTTTTAGAAAAAAATACTCCGAGTTACTTCGTTTTCAAATATGTGTAATAAATCCACTCGGAATACTTTTAATCACTCACAAATTAATTTATTTTTTATTGATTAATTCGATTATTTATACATATCGTGAAGTTCATGTTACTTTCCTCAAGGCAAAATACCAATACCAACTAGTTAAAATTGTTTTTTTTTTAATTAGGCGTCGAGCGTATTCTACAAACAACTTTGTGTGCGCTTATGAAAATTTTTTTCAAAATTTTGAATTTTTTTTAGAAGTTTGAACTTTTTTGGAATTTAAAAACAAACGTATTTTTTAAATACTTTGGGAATCTAGAAATTTTTTAAAGTATTCGAATTCTTTGAAAATTTTAAAATATTCTTAATTTTTCGTAAGAAATCGTTTTTTATAATTTTGCCATTTTTTGAAATTTACCAAAATTTAGTTTTTTTTCAAAATGTTGAAAAATTTTGATAATTTGAATTTTTTTGAAAATTTTGATTTTTTTTTGAAAATTCTCAATTTACGAAATTTTCTGTAAAAGCATTTTTTGCACAACGTTTACTCAAGCGAAATGTTTTTTGAATTAATCTAATCGGAAGATTCGTTCTATCAAAAACTGAATTACCATTTTTGGCTCTTTTTGCCCCATATCTTCGAAACGGCTAGACCTGCCTATGCCTAAAAAATAATCAGCATGTCTCTTTATCAATACGGATCGAATGTTTTTTAAACTATTCAAATCGATTATTTCATACTGTCGAAAATGTCGAGGACATTTGTTTGAACCATATACATGAATTCTAAAATTAAAATACTTGGTTCGCAAAGCAAAAAAAAATACACAAAATGTGTACACATTATTAAAATCTATATAAAATATCTGATATTTTGATGTACATATATGTCCAAGAAACATTTTTGACCGCCAAATGACATTTTTTAACTTCCCGAAGGAGAAGTTTTCATCAAAAAATCCGATTCGTTAATTTCATGTTTTCTCGACGTTTCAAGCCATTCTGAATCGAATGAGACCAAATTTGGAAAAAGTATGTGT